CAGACTGTCCTGGATCATGTAGGGGGATCTTGTTGTTGAAGGAAATACACACACTCAGGCATTTGGGAGTGATGGAGCATGGCTGGACACTTTCTCTCAAACGATTCACTAGAAAATGTTGTTTGTAGTGTTCCAACTTTTCTGTACGTTTTATGACTGTTTCAAGCTTTTACAGTATTCATAATATGCAATAGAATAGAGTAATATGGTTTAACTCTATCTCCTACCAGAGAAGAACAGAGACCAGTATAGACTTTTGGATGATGCAGAGGAGCTGCCTACCAACCCAGACAGTAATATCGAGCATTTTTGTAGTTCTTTTCAACATACAAAACATTTCGCTTACATTGTCTTACCTAACTCCTGTGATAACCTTGGATGGCTATTACCTTCATCCTCATTTTACAGATGGGAAAATCAAGCTCAGAGACAATGAGTTACAATTCCAGCTGTGGAGTCGCTAGGCTTCAAAACCAGGCCTTTCTGACTCTGGGCCTGTTCTTTATTCACTTTTTTATATATTTTCTGACCAATTACTGTGTGCTGCTGCCACCGTGAAACACAAGGTAGGCATGGTCCCTTCTCTCATGGAGCTCACAGATGGCTTTAGGTCTGTGAAAAGTCTGAATTCAGGTTTGCTAGGCATAAAATCCCAGCTCCCAACCTCTATTTCTTAGCCAATTGAAAACTCCCATGCAACATTTCTGTCAAAGTGCATTTTAGCATTCCGTTATAGCAATCTCACTTTAGTGCAGCATCCTGCAGCTTGGCTGCACGCTCCACTGGCTTTAGGTACACACACAGAGCCAGGGAAGGGCAAAAGCCCAACTGGGACACCGGAGGACCATGCACGGGGAAAATGCAAATGCTTTCTGGAAAATCCAATTTACTCCACTTTTCACCCATTTGGAAAATGTCCTTCTGACCGCAAAACAAACTGTACTGCACTGAACTCCCCAAACAGAGTGCTCACCAATTACCAAGGACTTCATGGAAAAACCTAGTGAATACTAGCAGCTAACTGATTTTATAGACACTTCCTGCACCACACCCTACATGGGTTTTCCTCATTGTCATCTAACACCTCACAGGAAGTCTGCAGGAGATATTACTCAGTTGCCAGGGAATAGGTACAGACAAGTTGCCCAGTAGGTGGAAGGGCCAGAATTTGAACCCAGGCTCTCTGGCTGGTGTTATTCATTCTCATTTATCTACTCAAATTGCCTCTCTCCTCCATTAAGAAAACATATGAGTTAACTCAGTTAAAATCCAGAAGGTTAATCTAGCAATTGTAGGTAAGTGAGTGGTCTCACTGGAAATTTTTTGTTTCCCCCTAGAGCTTTTAAGCTAAGTGTAAATTGACTATGTGCTTAGGAATTTACCAGCTCAGACAGACTGAAACAATTAGACAGGAGGCCAAGTAACAGTGAGAGAGAGAGACAGACCCCAGGCTTGCGGGCCGACATTCCTTTTAAAAGCTTCCCTCCACATCCTTTCTCAACTGGCTGAAACCCTAGAGGTTTGCCTGGCTAGCCTACTTCCTCTCAGAAGTGTCTGTGCCCCGAGGGAGGCTGGGATTTGTAGTCCTGCAATCAACCGCCTTTTCATAATCCCTTAGCGGGACTCCCAGGCTGAAGGTATGCAGTGTGAATTTCAGTAGCTTTCTACGTGATGAAATGCCCAATGTGCTTTTGCAGAACACACTTTCCTTCCTGGATAAGAGTAAAGCCTGTGTATACTCACCAGAACCTAGTCCCCACCCCAGTTCTTCACTGCGTCTCCTCTCCTGGTCCCCTGGACACAAGCATCATCTCAACTGCTGCCTCCTGCATGTTCTGGACACAAGCCCAGCAGAGCTGTTAGTGATGGAGGACCGTCTGAGAGGCAGACCCCTAGCGAGACTTGGGACAAGAGCCAGGCTCAAGGACTGCTCCCCCTGAAGGGTACCTTTTCAATAGTTTTTTTTAAAACATGTTTTTTATTTAAAAATATTAAGGGTGTACAAACATTTTTGGTTACATGGATCACTTTTGTAATGCTTGAGTCATGGCTATCAGTGTGCCCACCACCCAAATAGTGTTCATTGTACTCAATAGGTAGGTTTTCCCCTCCCCGCCTCCCCCCTCCTCCCTGCTTCATTTCCACTGAGTTTTACTTCCCTCTGTGCACATGTGTGCTCATCGGTTACTTCCAGTTTAATAGTGAGTACATGTAGTTTTGTTTTTCCATTCTTGAGATACTTCACTTAAGAGAATGGTCTCCAGCCAGTTCCATCCAAATTGTTGCAAAAGGCATTAATTCATCCTTTTTATGGCTGAGTAGTACTCCATGGTATACATATACCACATCTTATTAATTCAGTCATGAAGTGATGGGCACTTGAGTTGATTTCACATCTTTGCAACTGTGAATTGTGCTGCAATAAACATTCGAGTGCAGGTGTCTTTTGATAAAAAGACTTCTTTTCCTTTGGGTAGATACCCAGAGGTGGGATTGCTGGACCAAATGGTGGGTCTACCTTTAGTTCTTTGAGGAAGCTCCATACTGTTCTCCACAGAGGTTGTAATAATTTGCAATCACAGCTTTTTCAATAGTTATTAAGGCAACATGTTTATATGATGGTTGCTAATGAGCATATATTAGAGCAAATAGGATGAGAAACCAAGCCCACAGACCTCTTACAGAAAACACTGCACTTTATTTTGTTTTTTATTTCCTCACTAGCCATTGCCATGGCCTGGCAGCGTCTCGGCTTAGAGTGAACGCATAGGTGCTCCTTTACTCCCTGGCATTCTGGAATGTCCTGATCTCATCTGTCCTAAACTAGTACATCCCATCTGAGGACTCACACTTCATATATTATCCAGGGACTAAATAAACATCGTGCACATTTATTGTCCACTTGCATGCAGATATTATTGGTTAAGTAAAGTAATAATCATTTTAAATATTATCAAATCTCTAGTGATTGTTTTGGCCATTAAAAATGTTTCAAAACAACAGATACTGAAAGCATGACTTCCTTCATGTAGGACTCAACAACATTTTTTGACGCTGAAAAAGAGGTGATGCCCTGCTATAGACTGAACGTTTGTGTCTGTCCCCTCCCAGAATCATATATGTTGAAATCTAACTTCCAAGTGAGGGCATTTGGAGGCGGGGCCTTTGGGAGGTCATCAGGTCACATGGGCAGAGCCCTCTTGAATGGGATCACTGCTTTTACGAAGGAGACCCCAGAGAACACCCTTGGCCCTTTCACCGTGTGAGGACACAGTGGAAAAGTACTGCCTGTGAACCAGGAAGCAGCCCTCGCCAGACACCAACTCTGCTGGCATCTTGGTCTTGGACTTCCAGCATCCAGAACTGTGAGAAATAGGTTTGTTTTTAGAAGCTACCCAGTCTACCCAGGAACAGTTTCCGTCAGAATTGCTCCTGGGCCTGCATTGCCTGCTTGGCTCTCGCTGCTTGCTAGACTGCGTGAGCTCGTGGCACAGGCCCAGGGTGGTCGAGGGGATGCGGACTAGCAGCCAGCAGGGCAAAGAGCCGGTTTGGCCTCTGCGGCTAGTCAGCTGGTGCCCCTGGGCCAGCGAGTAGACTTTCAATCTGGGCATTGCAGGGGACTAAATGCCAGTCCTCCCTTTGTACAGATGCTTCTGAGGAGAAAATGGTGTCCCAGCCCTGTCTGTGAGTGGACCAGCTTCTGAGACCAGAATAAATCACTGTGGAACACATTCTGGGGGCACATTTGGCTAAAGTTCTAAGACTCTAGAGGTCATGAACCAAGGCCAGTGTTTGAATATGACACGTACGGAAAACCTCTCGAAGAGGTGAGCGCCTGGCGCCTGAGCTCTCACAGCCTCAGGAGGTGTGCCTTCGTTCTCCCCGATGAGCACTCTGTAGATTTCAAAGCTGATGTGAAAATTGCGTGGCTGAGATAGAGATTTGCAGCTAGCTAGAAACCAGCTATACCTGGCCTTCCTCATTTCTCTTTCTATGCTTGGGCCATTAATACCACACTTCTATTTTCTCCTCTTTTAGAAGTCACTAGAAAACCCATACATGGATATATACACACACCCTTATTTTACTAAAGACTGACTTTTTTGTTTTGAGTGTTAACAGCAAGGGACATACTATATAAAGAAAATAGGACAAAAAACATTAAAATTTCAGTTTCAATTTAGTTTTATGTCACCCTTTAAATTTTTCTATTTTTGCTTGTATTATAATATAAATAATGGTGTAATAGTTTGTGTATATGATTTATAAGTCAACATGCATATATTGAGAATATGTGCTTAACACATTTTTTTAATGGTAGTGTAAGATTTAAAAAAATTGGAGACCAATGTTCTGGAACACAACTAATTTTTTTAGGTAGACAGGTTGTCTAAAAGGTCCTCAGTGTCACCCTGGGAAGGTTCTAGGGTTAGCAATGTTGTGAGTCTAATTCCTTGCAACAAACATCAAGGGCTTCCCAGGTCTCATTCCTTTGCATTGTAAAATAGAGGAAATGAAAACAAGCTACCTAACAGTGAAGCAATTTGAGGCAAGTTTCTTCTTGGGAAGAAAAAAAGACCTTAAAGTCTGCATGGGCCATAAAATCCTGGCCTGGGACCCCAGGCAGCAGGGCTCTCATTCTCTGCTGCAGTGTCAGAAGGTCGGCCACCTGGTCCCAAGTGCTTGTCGAGGCACCAGGGTTAAGTCTCGTGGCCAAGTCTGGATGGACCGTTTGTTTTGTTGTGATCCTTGGACACAGATTGTCTGTGACCTTGGCTGTCATTTTATAAAACCCTTTTAGGCTGGAGGAAGATTTAAATACATTTAAAAAATCACTGCAAGCATCATCAACAACAATGAAAAACCACACTGATTATGTACCTTCCGCTGTGCTGCTGTATGTACATTTGAAAACTTCTTGATGGTGCAAGAGGTAAATAGAAAACTTCCCCTGGGAAAACCCTTTGACTTAATGTGGGGTAAATAAGAAGCGTCCTCAGTTCTGAGAGAAGAAGGCACAATTTATTTAGTCGAATTATTTTACAACATAGTCTTCATTGACAGTTGTCAGCTTAACACTTCATATTGTTAAAAAAGTCAACGATTACCTGCAAAATTATATATATTTCAATGTCTAAAAAATATATTGCATATATAGAGCAGGAAAATCCCTCATCTCCACAAGGGAAAGTTTGGTTCTTTTCTTTTCAGAGTTATGATTATTGCAGTACTGTTATTTACAAACATTTCCAAAGCATTAAAGATGTAAATGGCTTGCCTTTCCTTGCGTATGCATGCCTGTTAAATAACTGTACCAGTGCTTCTCTTTCTTGTAAGTCAGTGACTTAAACGCCCTGTTTTTTTTTCAGCAATAGTCACATTATGCTTTTTAAAAACCAGCTATAAAAACGTACAAATAGCCCAAATGTACAGATTGACAAAAGATGTACAAATTACATTTAAAAAAATAACAACGACTGATATGATAGTAATATTGCATTTGTGACCGAGGTCAACTCGTTTATTTATTCTTTTAAATTTTTTAATTATTTACTTTCAATACTGTGAGATATAGGAAAATAACTCTGCATAATTTATACAGTAAGTTGCCTTCTGATTGGTTGACCCTGGTCTGATGGCCTGACAAACGCACAGCGTTTGCGAATCTGTCTGAGTTTAGAAATCCCTATGACTTTTCTAAGTTCTGGGACCCACTGTCATCATTTTTAAAAAAGTTATTTAATTCTCTGTCTTTTAGGAATGTCTGCATTTGCATTAAAATTTCTTAGTTTATATCTTGACTATTTCTAGACAGAATGGTCAGCCGAGTGCACACCGCCCACAAAGGGATTCTGCAATGCCCATGGCTTCTTAAATACTCACAAATGTTCTTTCTTTTAAATTCCAGTTGGGTGAAAACTTCATTGGCCTTACAACCAATGTTCCAGTTGCCATCCACTGAATTAGGTCCTCCTAAAATAAGATTATAAGCTTCTATTTTCAATAAATCTCAAACCAGAACATGACTGGTTAAGTCCATGAACTCTACAATGATGAGACCCGTGTGTTGATGAGAAACTGCTTAGGTCATAAAAATATAAAGAAAATGTATAGCTTCTTGCTCAGAACCATGACATAACCATTCCAGTAATCCTAATATTCAACTCATAAGATGATAGGTGACTGAGAATACACACTGGCATACTGGCCCATTTCTTGGTTCAGGTAGAGGAAGCAAAAAGTTACCCACATTACAAAAATTGTTTTTAAAGAACAAATACAAAGGTTCTGTCCAACAAGGAAGAACATCCAGTTTTGTTTCCTCTTTAAGGCCACACATGTCCTTTAGAGTCCAAAGTATCCAGTAAGTGTGAGGGACAGGGCTTCAGCTGGAAGGCCACTGATGGTGAAGCTTCTAGTAGTAGCTGCCTAAGTGTGAAGGCACGTGGGTGTTTGGATGGCGAGGGACATTAGGGCTGGGGTAGATTCCACCAGTGGGGGAGGTCCAGTATTGGGATGCCGCTCCAAAGAAGCTGGAAGAAGTGACAGGCATGGAGGATGGGTGGGGAGGGACAAAGTTCACCTTCTGTTGGTGGGCGTGGTAGGAAGGCATGTAGGAGATATCAGAAGGATACTTGTACATGGATGGCTCAGTAGGATGTGGCTGCAGAGCCTGGGCGATGCCGTGGAAGTCAAATTTGTAGGCATACCTTTTGCCATGCACTTTGGTCATAATGTTTTTATCGTAGTAATACCGGAGGGCCCGGCTCAGCTTGTCATAATTCATGTTGGGCTTGCTTTTCCGCTCCCCCCAGCGCCTGGCCACCTCGTCGGGGTCCGTCATTTTGAACTCCCCGTTGGTCCCCTCCCAGGTGATACAGCTGGCGTTGGCGCTGTCCGAGAGCAGCTCGAGGAGGAACTGCCACAGCTGGATCTGCCCGCTGCCTGCGGGCGGGAGGCAAACAGGAGAAAACAGAGTGTCTCAGCCTGGAGAAGTCAGAACCCAGGTCCCTAACTGCGGGGCTCCTCATTCTTTGTAAGAAACCCTGTGTTTCCTTTTACGTTCCACGGACTTGACAGCCCCTTCTGATCACTGTTGGTTTGCTTTTCTGCTTGCTGCTGAGACGGGCGTAACAAGCAAGGTTAGGTTTTAAGACAATTTGACCCAAGGTCTGGTGAACGGAATGTAGGTGATGAGGCGCTGGGTTTGCCCAGAATGAGCTGGGTGATCTTGGGTGAGCCACCCCACCCCTACCCCTACCCCTTGGGGCAAGATTTTTGAATGTCTTCTATAAAGGCCCACATCACTGCCTAATCTCTACTTAGTGATGAACCCTGTCAGCATGAGGAAGAGGCAGGGCCACGCACGGCTGTCAGGGTCACTGGGAGATGGTGGGTCCTGAGCTTTCGGGCGGCTGGGCCTGGCTCTTTCCTTGGCAGAGCCCTAGAGCTTGGCCCTCAGCTCTGAGTTCTACAGAGAACTCGGGCAGAGAGGAAAGTAACAGGAGATGATGCTGGGTGGCTTCTTTTTCCTCTGGGCAGGAACGGCCAGGCGCTAAGAACGAGTGGGGAGACACTGGCAGCACTTCGTTCTCTGGAACGGAAGGACGCGGGGGCCCCGCTCTTGCAAAGGCCTAGCAGCTCGCAGCCACAGTGGTCTTCATTTAGAAGAACTCACTCGAGAGTTATTTTTAATGATAAATCCTTAAAATACATTGTCAAATTACTTTATGTGGAATTCTCCTCTTTTATAAGGCCAGAAAACTCTGCCATACTTTCTAAAGAAGAATTAAGAATAAAAGCTTTTAGAATATTTATTCGCCTGTGCCTCACATGGGAAGATAACAGCTCACCGGAGTCGTTCTTTCCCTACTGGGACTTCTACCTGAGCCATTTATCACCAATCTGCGCCTCAGTGCAGGCACGCAGCACTAATGCTTGTATCCCAGGGCATCCTCACCAAGGGACATTGCACCTAAGGACCATCTCTGACTGCTCATTTGCAAGCTACAGAAGCAGATTTTGAACATTTCAAGGAGAAGTACACATTACTCCCCAGACAGGTGTCTGGACTTAGGACAGAGGTCTCGGTGGCCTAACAAAGCTACATTTTGGAAAGAAAGACTTGCTGGCCAGGTAAACTCACCTGGGTTGGCTAGGCGACTGCTGGTCGGGCCCAGGATCTGATATGGATCTAGGGAAATAAAAAAGGAAATTTGCTTCAGTGTAATTAAAAATATAATAATAGCATTAACAAGAAGAAAACCCAAAGGGTTTATACTTTTATTGCAATAGCATTGAAAAGACTGATTTCAGAAAACTTTACAGCTTTTAATTTACAGAACTCAAAAATCCTAACAGTTTTGGCTTTCATCTCAGTAATTACAGAAAATACATGAAATAGTCACATCATCACTTTTTCATATTTGGTGTCTAAAATTTGTAGATTATGCTATCATTACCCAGAAGAAAATAAGAAAACATTTGGAAAAGAGCTGTCTAATATTCAATCATACAAGTAAGTGGAGGGATGGCTTAAGGAAGGTCTCATGGTTTCTGGTCTTAGCTCTACCTAATACTGACAAGAGTACAAATCTCTGACGTGGCATAAAAAACACATGCCTGGAAACCAAGCAGCTGCGGTTCTAGCCCCAGCTACGTTATAAACAAGTAACTTGTTGGACAATTTCTGGGTATCAGTTTTCTCATCTGCAAAATGAGTGGGTTTGGCTATTGACTCCCTCAGTTGCCTTCTAGTATAACTCTGAGATTTTAAGCTTAGACATGTCAATGCTAACCAGAATTTGTATTTTAGCTATAAAACGACTATTCTTAAAATCTTGATTTACTTAAAACTTATGTGATTATTTAGCCATTAAAAAACCTTGGCAATATTGGTTTAGGTGAGATTTGTCTTCTTTTTTTTTTTCTTTAGTTGAAATCATGGTAGAAAGCTGGATCTCAACTTAGCCATATGTCACATCTTTTGTATGATTTCACTATTTTTACAATTATAATTGTAATTTTAAAAAAATCAATATGATTTTTTGTTTTCTATTTAGAACCATGAACTAACTTCAAGCGTCCTTAAAGCCATTTAGTCTGTCCTTTCCCATCCACACTTTTAGTATGATAACTAAAATATTTTTGGCAAGTGATGCCTAATTTTGTTGTTGATGATCCTTTAAAACTCTCTACATCTGACTTGTATTTCACAGTCAGCAAGTTTTTTCGTAACCCTCCTGGTAAAGTATAGGTTGATTTTCTCTTGGAGGAAATCTCTGAGAAAGATGGAGAACAATGTTGTCCCATGCTGAAGCCAATGGCTTGTTCAGAGCCTAGTCTCAGCTGTGTCACATACGCAGACAGAGTGGACTGGGGCGTGGGCATTGCAACTGCCTTCAGACAGACAAAGGACGACTGCATGGAGCAGGCGGAGGACTTCTCCAGAGGGCAAAGGCGGAAGCGAGTGGAAGTTCCAGCTGAGGGACTTTGGCTCAGATAGTGGAATTGAGCCCAGGTAGGTAGTCAACTCCGTTTTGTCAGAAGTAAGATAGAGATAAGGGAGGCACAGGACCAAGATGTTATATAAGGTGTAGGTGCTACAGACTTAGAAGTATCTAAGTTCTGCTGCAATATTGAGTGCTCCAAGTCCACAGCTTTAAAAATTCCTCTGCCTTAATTGTTAAGTTGACCCAACACAGGATGGGCATATTTTTGAAAGCAAGGTTTGGCGAAGCATAAAAGGCTTGGACAGGAATTTGGGAGTCTGGGGTCACAGCTCTAATTCTCTCATAGAGCAGCTGTGTGGCTTTTAGCAAATCTCTTGATCTCTCTAGGCCTCAGTTTCTTTATTTTACAAAATAAAACATTGGAATATTTAATCTTTACGTTTCTTTCACCTCTGATATTTGACAAGTCTCTACCTGACTACAGTACTTGTTATTTCATTCACAGATCTATTACAGAGTCAAATATAGACTCTCTTTGAGAGAAAAAAGACACAACATATGAGACGTGTTATTCAAATCCTCTCCCAGTTGCCCAAGTGGAGTCAGCAGCTGCACGAGACGCAAAGGCGAAAGTGCGTGTCCCAGACAGGTACCTGGCTGGGGCCGTTGTTCTGTGTTCTTACTTATCGTCTGCGCTCCTCCCAGAGGGGGACCTGTGAGGAGAGGAAAAACACAGTAGGGGGAGCCACTCTCCACCAGGGGAGAGAAACACCTTCACTAATGCTTTCTCATTCATTCATTCACCCACTAGCCACTGACTCATTTATTCATTTTATTTTGTAACTATTTATCCAGAGCCCACGGTGCTGGTTCTGTTCTTCATGCTGGAGATTCAGCAATGAACAAGGAGTTCCTGGTAGAACTTACATTTTAATGGGGAAGACAATGATAAGCCAATTTTTAGAAAGTAAATCAATAGTGCAGCTTATGTGATGGTATTGGGGCTATGGGTTTCATTTTTAAATAGGAAATTTAGAGGGGTAACTTAATGAGAAGATGACATTTGAGCAAAGGTCATCTGCTTCCTGTGTTTCCATGTTTTGTGAGCTCCCCTCCATGTTACTGAGTATCTCTCACACCTCTCTTCCTTCCCTGTCATTGTTTCTGCGCAGTAGGTGTGCGTGGCTTCTCGTGGTCTGACAGGTATTGTCACCACTCTTCTCTCTTCCCCCTGACCTATCATACACTCCTCCACTCAAAACCTTAGTGACTCCTTGTCTCCTAAAGAATTAAGGTCTGTCTTCATAGCATCACTCCAGCTCCTTTCTTACCTTTCCAGACTTTTTTCCATCACACATCCTAGACTCCAGGAACCTGGGGTCCTCACTGACTGCTAGACAGGGCGAGCTTGATGTCCTTGCCTGACCCCACTCTATTGCAAGTGTCTGTCCTCCCATCTCCCTGGGCCCAAATCCTGCCTTTCCTTCCAGAGCTAGCCCAAATGCTGCCAGGTCCACAAAGCCTTCCTTGGCACCACCCAGATGAGAAGAGTTACTCGTGTGCATGGTTTCCCTCCCTTGCTTTTGAAGTTGTTCCATGTCTGATCTGTCTGTGTTCATTCCATAGTGCACAGTGGTGTGCACAGAGTAAACAAACAATTAATACTAAGATTGAAAGCAATCCTGGTTATTACTTGGGCATTAATTTGTAATCCCGATCTCTTTCTTAAAATACTTCCCTTCATCACTCATTCATGTGCATATTATACTTCCTGGAGGCAGCAAGACTGACACATGCTGGTCCAGGAGTGCACGAGTCCATGAGTCGTTCTCTTTCCTTACTCCCTTAGTAGGAGACACTGGGTAGACTCTACACAGCATCACCTCGATGCTTGGTGGCCAAATTGGTGCCTGCAACCCCTACCATCTCCTCATCAGGCTGTCTCCATCCCCATCGTTCCTGGAATGGGGACAGGGGATTGGCAGGACTGAGCCTCAACAGTCTGAGGGGCCAGGTCAGAGCGGGCCACTGTGCTGCCTTAAAGAACAGACTCCAACCCAGTGACCTTCCATTCATACAGAACTTCGTCCCAAGAAAACTTCTACCTTCAAAAGCTCTATACCAAGTGCGATGAGATAAAACTCAAAGGTCTGCATGAAAGTCCCATGCCATCCTTCAAGGGGTGGGTATCACCCCTAATTTGCCCTAAATTGGCAACTAATTTTGATGTCTGCTCACAAAGCAGGGAAACAGATGCTCCTGTCCCACTTCACTGATGTCCCCCCCCCCCCCAGCGCAGTCCTCAGGAAAGCAACTCCTCCCAAAGACTGGGATGGCGGTCACTTACTTTTGTTGAGGCCGGAATTCATGTTGTTGCTCCATGCTCCTCTCCTGACTGAGTCGTAAGAAGGGTCTAGCGAGAAACAAGCAGGTGCGTTAGCATCGCTGCTCTCAGCAAGGTCGGCGGGGATTGTCTCCTGGTGACCAGGAGAGGCTGGGCTTAATTCAGCAATGGCTTTGTAAGCATCACGGAGCTCCAGAAGTGCACGCTGCCCTGGGTGGGGCTGGTCGGACGGAGCAGGAGCACTGACTGTGAGAAGGCCTCAGACGTACTTAGGAGCCGCGGAATGGGCAGAGCCTGAATTTGAAGTCTAAGGATTAGTTCAAGTCCTGTTCCTGCCACTGTTGGTTGTGAGACTTTGGACAAATCCTAGGACTCCTCTAGGCCTCAATTTTTTTAATGTGGAAATAAAAATTGCCATGAATCATTTACCTTATGGGGTATGGTAATGGTGAAATGAGATAACATATATACAACACCTCATAAAGCTTTCTACAAATATACACTAACACAGGCTAGAAAGAAAAGAACGTCCACAGCTGTGTAGCAAAGTCCTTCCTGGGGCCCCCAGCCTCGCATCGGTGCGGGCGGGCGCGTCTCAGAGCGCGAGCACCTTCCGGGCTCCCGGCCCTCAGCCTTCCCTGCTGATAGTGAGGAGGGCTGGGCCCGACGGCCACACAGAAAGGGAAGCGGCCGGAAGTCTGACTAGAAACGAGTAGATGGAGAAACGCTTCCACCTGGAAATGGTGCGAGGCGCTCCTGGACTGTCCTGAGAATACTGCGCGAACTTGGACTTTCGTGCTCCCCCGTCTTTCTTGAAAGATCCACATGCCTCCTCCGTACCCGTGTTCAGAGATTGCTCAACTAACTGGCTAGAAAATTCCCTCATTTCCTTTCTGGTGGTGTGAGTCCCATTGAGACATAGAGCAGGAACAGCAGAAGAGCTTATGGATGCAGAATTATGACTTTCAAAGTCTTTCCATGAACAGCAAAGAAACCAGAAAAACAATCCGAACAAATGGAGCGCAGACCTCATCAAACAACAGCCTGACCAGGGAAATGCAAACCATTCCCTCCGACCCCTTCGGAGCCCCTCAGTCAAACCAGGATACGGCCCCGGAAGATGGATGGACCCGTCCCATTGTCTGGTCTTATTGTTTCTGGCTACGAAGAACCAGCAGCAAAGACAGTTTTCTTGTGGAAAAACCCACGTGCAGACGCACATTCCTCATGCCTCTGGAAAAGCCAGTTCAGTGTTTAAATTACAGTCTTTAGCAATTGGCATGCAAAGCACAGCAGAAAGTGAGGGGTGTGGATGGGAAGGGCAGAGCCGGGACGGAAGAGCGACCAAGCTCAATGCCTTTAAGACGTCTGCTTTTACTTTTGACTTTTTTTTCTTGCACAATTTCTCCTGTAAATAGACTCCTCTTCTTGCTTAAAAACAAACCACACAAATGAAAAACCAACTTGTGTGAAAGCTTGGAATGAGGTCGAAAGCTCTGATGGGCATCTTCTGCAGAGTGTTGCAATGTTGGCATTAGCAAAAGGAAAGGTGAGATTCACAACAAGTTTTGAGCAGGAGGAGGCTGCTGGTTAGGCCTCCAGTAATTTATCCAGGACCAGCCTGGGCACTCTGTTGTGTGCTTGGCCGCAGAGTGGATGTGAATTACAGGAAAGGAGTTCCCTGTGCTTGTGTGCAAATAATATGAGGAGACGAGACGGTGAGGAGTGCGGCTCCCGTGCCAAGGCACAGCGAGACCCTAGGGCTACTGGAGGTTAGGGAGGGAAAGAGGGGTGGAGCTGAGTGGGAGCAGCCACCTGGGGGCTGTGTGACTTGAGTGAGTGCTCTCTGCAGAAGGGGGGGACAGGGCAGGCAGGAACAAGGCAGAAGCAGGTGGCGAGATGTCAAGGTGATGTCGAGGGACAGGCACGGGTGGAGCTGAGTGACTGGAGGGATGAGGAAGGACAGGAGGAGGCAGAGCAGAGCATGTTCACCATCGTGTTGGTGGCAGCCCAGCAAGTGACCTTGGGGTTCCAGGCAGGGAAAGAGGTTTAGGGCAACAGTGACACCAGGAAGACAGGTTTGGCAGGGAATGAGCTTGTGGTGGTGTGGGGGATGGGTCATTCTAGTAGGAATGGAACAGAAAGTGGAACTGACAGTGACAAATTCAAGCAAAAAGAAAAAAAAAATTCACTAGGTTCCAGAAATTAGTATATGTCGTCTTAAGTTCTGACTTGACTTCTGACTTATTGCACCGATAAAATCTGTCTCAGATTTTTCTACAAAATTTTTCTACTTTCAGTCACTCGTCTGCTGAAGGCTTCAATCCTATCTGAAAGCTATCTTGTAACCATTCAGAAGAACGATTCTTTTTAATGCCCAAATTATGGCCATGGCTATAGTCACCATTTTCTTCCTTTTATTCTAGTGCCAGGGACAGGGCAAGCATGCAAAAGTCACGAAAGGCATGAATGAATTCCCTCTCCCCAAAAGAGGGTGCGTGATCACTGGATCTTTCTGTGACTCCAAGGAACCAGTCTAGGTTTGACGCTGGTGTCCCGGCAGAGCAGTGGCATGGCAGCCCCGCCTTCTCTGTGGTGCCCGGCCCGAGGAGGGACGCAGAGCTTCGTGGGGCAGTTCTCCCACAGGCCTGTCTCGTGCAGAAGCCCGGCTGAAGGGACTTTGGAAGTCCCAACCAACCCTCTGCGCCTCCATGGGTGAAACAGCAAATGACAGAAACAAAAGGCCGGCTGGCAATCGGCCTGACCTGCGTTCTCACCGTGAAACTGAAAGAGCCATAAACGGCAACGGGCCGTGTGGCAGCTGGCGTCTTCAGCCCACGTCCGAGCAGAACGAGGAGTCAGAGTCTCGGGACCACAGGCTCCCTCCCCTGGGCCTTCGCATTCCCAGATCTTTGCATGGAAAATCCCCCCACTGGCACCTGAGTTCCCCAGAGGACAGCCTGGCCATTTGCCACAGAGTCTGCAAATGCCTTCTGTGGGCTCTGGTTCTAGGGGACACCTACTCAATGTCAGGTTTAAATTAAAACCAGTGTTTTTGGAGCAATTCCTGCTCCAAAGACAAAGAATGACGATGGAGAAGCTGGGGCCAGAACTAGGTCTGGGATTCTGCCTCGAGGCCCGGCACGGCCGCGTGCGCAACCGGCGGGAGCCCTGCGAGCACCCCAGCGCCCGGCGCGCACAGCCGGCTCAGGCGGGCTCAGCGGGCCATGCGTGAGGGAGCCTCGTTGCCGCTGCCCGAAAACACTCAGGCCAGGACGGGGCGGCCAGCCTCCCACCCACACTGCCTTCCTCTCCCCTCTCTGCTCTGCTTCTTATTTTTCCACTGATCACCTGATCGAATCGATCATCAATTCTCTACCCGAACATCAGGGCCGCAGGGCCGGGACCTTCTTCGCGTTCTCTGACATGTCCCAGCACCCAGAGCGCTCGGGGCTGGCCAGAGGGAGCAGGCCATAAGTATTTGTTGAATGAATGAATGAACTGGGCCAGTGTTTCCTCCCTCTTGCTATCCATAAATCACACAATTCTTAGTTTAGCATTAAATACATCGCTGGCTGAAGAGAACCCAGGGTTCCTACTCCCTGCTCTCCACTGAACTCAGTCTCCAGGCTTAAGATTTAAGTCTGGGTGGTGAGTACAGACTTGTCAGCCCCTGTCCCCTGAGTGTAAGGGACTGCAATCCACCTACTCACGAGGTGTTGTAGGCTACAAGCTTGTTCCCGCAGGGAAGCCAAGGACTAGGCGCTACTCGTTGAAGTGGCCTGCATTTTATTTGTGTGTTTTTAACAATGTCATTGTGGAAAGGAGGGTTCATATTATTCCTACTAAAAGTCACATAAGTGAAAACTTAGCAGTGTGGTCAGCTCTGGTACTGACATACAAACAGAGATATGTCTATATGCCAAATGGAAAATCCTGGACCAGGGAGCCAGCCCAGTGGCTCTCATTCCTGCTCAAACACGGTCCCTCCTGGGGCCTGACGCCGACCTGTGTCAGGGCCTAGCTGCCGGCCAGGCCAGCACACGGGGAAGGTCTTGGGGGGAGGGCACCTGCTTTGAGAAGCAGCCTGAGTGTGCACCAGGCCCTCCGAGTGGGGCGCGTGGGCTCTCCTTCCTGAGAGCCGACTCCTGGAAAGAAGCTTAGGGCGGCAGCCGGAGGCACAGCGTGCAAAACGGGGCCTTTGGGACCAGCGCGCCAGCTGATGCTCCCAGACCTCCCTGTGGAGGCGCTGGCTCTGTGCCAGCAGACAGCCACACCCCAGTTCTGACGGACTCTCTTTACTTTGGTGAAGGCGGACACTCCCGGCGTATGGAGTACCAAGAGGACAGATCTTACTGTGGTTCCTCTTCAGAGGAGTCACCAAAAGCGCTTCGCCGGAGTGTCTGGTTTCAGGCAGTCCAGAGACCAACTTTTGCCAAAGCAAAGAGACCTGAGCCCTGTTCTGTAGAATCGGGGCAGTGCCAGCCATTGTGGGCGATCCAGCCTCACATATATGAAGCCTTCACAGTATCTCCATTCTGCGGTGCTCAGCGTGGCTGAGTTCGACACTGAATGGCCTCTTAGATTCCAGGAGAGCCTCCTGGGGTGGAGAAATATGAGCACGGAGATGTTGTTTCTGAAAGTCCCTGCTGGAAGGGGAAAGCTTTTTCTGGACATGACCTCTCATAGACATACCAGCGTGAGCTCAGTGACTGTGTGAAGCTTTCAAACTGGTTCTAGAAACACGGCCAAACGTCTCAGGAAAGATCTTTCTTTCTGCTCTGCCGCCTGCAGCCAGCATCCGGCCAGCATGCCGCACCCCTCTTTGCCACAATCCCGCCAGGGGGCCAGCGACAGCACCACCAGCCCACAAAAGCCTCTCTCTTCATCCCTACGACATAAACCTTGCTCCCAAGGACTTGGTGGGAAAAGGTGAGTTTCCCTGAAATCTCTCACTGACTGTGTGGTTGCTGCCGAGAAGCCGCAGCACCTGGCCGCGTGCGCCGCGGGAAGCCGCTTCCGGAGCGGACCGTGCAGGGGAGGCGGCGAGGCCGCTGCGCTCGGGCAGG